CTGGGATCATGACCTGAGCTGAAATCAAGAGTCAGACACTCAATAGACTGAGCCACCCACCCAGATGCCCCTTATCAACTGTTTAAAAAAGTAATCTCTGTCCAGCATGGGGTTTGAACTCACGACCTCAAGATCAAGAGTTGCTGTACTGACAGAGCCCACCAAACACCCCCATATTCATCAATATCTTTATTTACTCAGTTCTTCATATAACTCTAAACAACTGCAGTCCCTACAAAAATATAGTTATGCCCTTCATACATATGCAGAAGCTTGTGTCTTCAAGACAAGCTGGAAATCATTTTTTGTTTGTTTGTTTTGTTTTTTAATTTTGAGAGGGTTGAGGAGTGGCAGAGAGAGAGAGAATCTGGAGAAGCAGGGCTTGATCTCACAAACCGTGAGATCAAGACCTGAACCAAATCCAGAGTCAGACACTTAACCAGACTGAGTCCCCCAGGCAGTAGTTAGTTCTTAAATTGTCCCATGTGAGTCAGAGATTCCAGCTGCAGTAAACTACAAACCTTCCTTCCCACCTCTTATGAAGGCTTTTCAATTTACTGACATCATGGATGATGATATTTATTTTATAGTGGTAAGAACATTTAAGATGAGATCTATCCTCTTAACAAATTTTTAAGCGTACGGTACATTATTGCTGACTGTAGATACAGTGTTGTACAACAGATTTCTAAAGCTTATTTATCTTACGTAACTGAAACTTGATGTGCTTGATTAGTACCTGCCCATTTCCCTCTCCCCCCAGCGCTCTGACAATAGCCATTCCACTCTGAATCAGTGAGTTTGTCTGTTTTAGATACTTTATATAAATGGAATCAGCCAGTATTTGTCTTTTTGTGACTGGCTTATTTTACTTAGCGTAACGTCCTCAAGGTTGGTGCATGTTGGCACACATCGCAGAATTCTTTTTTTTAAAGCTGAATAGTATTCCATTGTATGTATATACCATGTTTTCTTTATCCATTCATCTGTTGTTGATGGACATTTAGATTCTTTCCCATCTTGGCTATTGTGAATAGAGCTTCAGTGAATGGGAGTGCTGACATCTCTTTGAGGTCTAGATTTTGCTGCTTCTGGATAAATACCCAGAAGTGGGATTGCTGAACATGTGTTCTTACATGTTTAGTTTTCAAGAGCTCCCTTTTGTTCTCTGCAGCAGAGAAGTGAAATAGTTTAGTATTTAAGATTGTGGATCATTTCTTCGTGTAAAATGTGGGTAATAATAGTGTGTACCTCATAGCAGTGTTGTAAGCTCAGTGAATTAATGTATGTGAAGCATTTAGAGAAGTGCCTGGTTATTTTTTTTTATTGTTATTACTATATTCCTGTCCGCTTATGATGGATAGAATATCTTTTATCTCTGAGAAAATTAATAAATAGGCTTACATAGGCTTATCAAATAGACACTAATATTTTCTTTTTTTTCAATTTAAAAAAAAGTTTTTTTTTTAATGTTTGTTTATTTTTGAGAGAGACAGAATGCG